GATCTCCAATAATAAAAAATGAAACATAGTTTAATACATGTTGGAAACACAACCAAAAAAAACACGAAAAATGAGAGAGCCACTCATCGTGGGTCTAAAGACACAAACCAAACAACAAACCTTAAGCAGGGACAAATCCCCGGGACTTAAGGCTGTAAACCCTCCAAACCAACCTAGAAACAGAAACACCAACCTAGACTAAGGAAGCGGACCCAAAACCAACTGAAAGCAAAAAACCAAAAACATCATAAAAGCAAAAACTCTAACTACACCTTATTACTCAACCATCCAGCAACACCCTACTCCCCGCGTACTCTTGTCATACCTTCCAAGCACCTCTCACCATCACATCTTCCAGCATCCAGGCATTCTCAAACAACCACGATTTCTTGACCGTCACAACCACCACATGATATACATAGTCAATTGTATGCGATCCTCAGATATCATAGATGAGTCAGTAGAACAAACCTGCCACCACCATAGCCGAAATGAAGTCTCACTGTGTAGCACTCTATCCCACTCACCGGTGTCATCTTACACAGCACCCTGACTTTCCTGCAAGTAAAATACAAGTGTTTTATAGTTTCCTTTTGTTCTCCACACTGTTTGCAAATAACATCAACCTAAATCCCTTTCTTGGCCACATTCAGACTCACTGGCAGTATTCCATTGAAACACTTCCAAATTAAGTGTTTCCCTTTGACCATCATCTTTCAACTCCTCTTCTTGATATGCTTGTCTCTTAAGCCTGTGGCACTGCCTTCAACTGAGTCCATTCCCATAATTTTGCCTTCCATTAGATGTGTATAAGACCCTGCAACTTTGAATTTCCCTTGTTTGTCAAAATTCCATTTTCATTTATCTGATTGATCAGGCCTAAGAGAGTCCACTGCAAGAATAGCCATCCTATCAATATCTGAAAAGGCTCTATTTAGGAGTTGGGTATTCCAGCTCCTTCCATCAGCATTTATCAAGTCTATAACCCATACAAGAGAATCTCTCCAAGGTTCCAGAGGTTGGATACTTTTGTGGTTGAGCTTTGGAACCCAGTCGTGATCTTGAATCTTAGTCTCTCTCCCATTTCTAATTTCCTTACACAGTCCCTTAGCAAAGATAAGAATTAGGTCAACCCAATTGTTCCATCCTGCTGACGAGATGATCAACCACTGTCTTTAATTTGTTTCATTGAATCCAGTAAATCATCTTTGTTCTTACTCAGTTCATGGCAGATAGAAACTGGTAATTTGAAATAGCTTATTGCAAGGATATACAGAGCATATATCACAGCCTTGACCAATACTTCCTTCCGTGCATTGGACAAGTGATGTAGCGTAGCGTGAACGAAAGGAACAAGAGAGATAAATCTCAAAATAAATGTATTCTTATTTCATCAAAAACTGACCATCTCGAATGCCAGAGATATAAAATAAATAGAGTCTAAATTTCTAAATCCTTATCTTGCTAAACAAGAAAAAGGAATATTCTCCTAATTAAATAAAGCAAACAAATAAAATAGCATAAATAACTATGATTGATGTAGCACCATAAATAACTCGGTGGACTAGTCTGACCCGTTAGCTCGGATAAGGCCGGTCCAAGGGAGCTTGGAGCCTAATTTATGTGACAAACGGTATTAGTTAAAGATATTCATGAAAGTTAGTGTATATCTACACAGTTATTGAGGAGTATCAGAATTCTTGTTTATTGAGGAAACTCATTATCTTAGGGAGTAAGTCATTAAACTCCTTATAAATAAGGGACCAGGTTCATTTTCTAATCCTAAGCTCTGATGATTGCTTAAGATACACGATCAAAATATTTGTTTTCTGACTTGAGCGTC